TGTTACTTTTCACACCCATCGAAGGATGAGCTATATCCTATTTATTAAAACGTTTGCAACGCCCACAAAGAAGCTTCAGCGATTCCACAAGGTATATATTTTTGATCAGCATCAAATTCTGAATCGATTTAAACATGTCTGCCTGCCTGGCTGTCTGTCTGTGCAGTGGTTTTTGTTCTCCCGGTCGCTGTCGATTTCAAATTAGGCAGAAACGCTGGAAGTTCTTGCAAGCAGTTTAGTATTGAAAATTGGCCAAATCAGTGGAAGGGCACACCCGCAGTACTACATGAACTGCGAAAGACTCTGTTTTTCAAAAAGAATACAAAATTGATTTTTTGCTTCTTATAAATTAACTATAGCTGATAAATGCACAAAAATTTGAATGCCATCCTCTCGGCGATGTCTGCACAAAAATGGGAAAAATTGACCACGCCTACCCAATATCATGGTGTATTAAAATTTAATAATTTTTTCAATACATAATAGTTTCAAATTTGGAATGCACAGATTTAAATTTGGAAAGCACGTCCATCTGTCCATCCGGCAAACTTTGTAGTGTCTGTGGTAAATATTCTCCCCTTTGGGAGATGATCGCCTACAAATTGACGAAAGAATTTGAGACTGATCTAAACTTTTCAAAGGACACGAATATACAGCAATAGTATTATTTTTGAAAATAGAGAAAATCAGCCATGCCAGCATGAAATGCTCCACACACTATAGACCATCCGTGGTAATGGATATAAAAGATTCGGTCACGGCCGAACTGTTATCATGTAGTACTTTTGATTTTACCAAAAAAACAGCTGTCATTGCAGAGCCAAGTAAATCATTAAAATTTTCTCCTACTGGAACAGAGAAAAATTGAATAAACTTGCATTTCCTGCCTAAGTTTATATTATTTTACAACGATCATAGTAAAAATGCAATTTTTTTCTTTTCACATTTTTCCTTTCCTTTTGTCTTTTTTTTTTTATAATATGTATATGTATTTTCTATAACTCGTTTTTTTTATTTTTCGTATTTTATCATAATTGTTGTTGTGTGTGCCTTGTTTATACTTAAGAATTATTTAATAGCATTTTTACACAAGTTTTAACTGAAATTTATGCGTGGAATATTACTGTTTTTTAAATATTTTAGTTATGAACGCATTCCTTGTATTTTAATAATATTTTTTCTTATACGCTTGTAAATATTAACTGTTGTTGCTATTACATACATACATAAATATATATATATATATGTATATGTATTTAAAAGCGTCATTGCTTTTGTAAGTAAATTTTTCGTGTTAATTATGTTTTTTATCGCATTTGTCGCTTAATTTCCGCTGATTTTTTTTTTCAATTCTTATATTTATTTACATTTGAATTAATGTAACTAAAAATGAAAACTAAAGGGAACTTTCAGTCAAAGGAATTTAAAAACAACAATGCTTAGGAATATATATATAAATCAATTAACATAAATAACATAAGATCAAAGAGCAGTGAGTACATCCTTATAAACGTTTGGACTTATAAATTTTCTGCGACATTGCACAAAATCTCTGAATCCACCACCGTAGGATAGAAGCAATTTATAAAACGTCCATATTTATTAGTTTACGTGTAACAGCTGCACATAGATATTCGAAAGAACATTAAATATTTGTAGGTTAGTCTGAGTCGGTTAAGCAATGACCAACAGTTTACCCACCCATTTGTCGTATCCTGAAACTAGCACGCCCGCAAAAGGTAAATTGTAAACTTGAACTTGATGCACAAGTTTGTAAAGTTTTTCGGCCTTTGCGTGCTTATCGAAGTCCATTCTCAATCTTGATTTGTCTTTACACTTCAATGTTGGGTGTAAAGATTAAAGAAAGCGAAAAAAGTTTTCTTTCCATTCTTTCTTATTATAAAAACATTTTCGTTTTGCTAACAAATATAACGATAGAATTTTCAAATCTATCACACCCATCACAGAAAACATCCCCATATCTGATCAAAACAAAATAAAAAAAAATTGTTTTAACACACCAAGATATATTTTCAATTAGTATTTAAATCATTTTAAAGTTTAAAAAGCATAAAATAAAGCAAATTCAATGAGCGACTTGTAGTGGATCTCCGTGGATTTCTGTGGAAGTGAATATAAGTTCTTCCTTGCACATCTAACATCGTCATCAGTACTATCAAACGGAAATTATTTCATTGAACATCATTTTTGACTTAGTCCCTCTGTCTTACACATCTTAAATTATACGAATCATTTACCATCAAAATACCGGGCCTTAAAACAATACAATCTGACAAATAATTATATGTACAAACATAATTTTATTTATTTCATCCAAAAATTAATGGCAAATTATTTTTATGCTTATAATACATTTTTTTGTAGCTACATTCTCTCTTTGTCAGTACTTCTTTCATTCGTCTTTGCCTGTGTTCCTATTGCTTGAGGTTATTGTGGTAGTTTGGAAATTCAATTGAAAATATTATATGTGCAATTGCCATCGTTCGAGTTTCTGCCGCTGAGTAGTGAACATTTTAATTTTTGTTTGTGGTTTATAAAAAATGTACTCTCGTAGGTGAGTAATGAAAGCGTTTGCGATATATTTTAATAACTAATTGTGCTCATATTTTTGTTGCTAGTTAAAAATGTTATGTGAAAGCGAACTTTCGGAGGCGCGGTGTCGGAAAATTAAAAAAGGAAGAGACTTGCTGGTAAGACAATTGGAGAGATAGCAGTTGCGATAAATCGGTCCTGCAATAAGGTCCAAATTACTTAAAAGATCCTGATGATTATAGTTGCATTAAGCGCAATGGTCGCATCCCAACCGTAGGTCAAAGGAGAAAGGAGCGCACACGCTATTTAGCGGCCAATAAAAAAACGAGTTGCAGGCAAATAAATGCAGAATTAGTCCCAAATGTAACGTGACAGCGTATGCAAGAACTTAACCAAGATAGTCTTAGATATGAACACAAAATTGCAAACCACGCTTGCCCTAGCGCCATGAAAATGCCCGTGTTGCGTTTGTCGGTAAATACAAATGTTAGGAAGAAGAGTTGAGCAAAATTTTAATTCAGTCACCAAAAATATGGGTACGATATCCTCGTGTAACGTGTTGCAAGTGTAAACAGTGGCAGTCGACCTCATATAGTAAGGGCTGCATTCGAAATACGAGGAAAGTTAAAAACATGATTTGTACTTAGCTTGTTGAGAGCAATTTAATAAACTGAAGAGTTATATGGTGATAATTGGACGTTCCAAGAAGACAACGCTTCCATCCATGTCACATGGGTTAAAAGAATTTTTTTCAATCATGCAATATATCTTTACTGTGGTGGCCACCCAAAAGTGCCGACCTGAACGTGATGGAGGGCCTCTGTGGAATACATTCCAGCAAGATATTCTCACTGTCTAAGCAGTATTTTACGCGTAAGGAACTTAAGCTTGAGATACTGTCTGAATGGGAGAAGTTTGATGTGACCACTCGGAGAAACTTGATGTGCTCTTGGCCACGCAGCCGGCCTTATTCATAAGGGCAACATAATACCATATTAATTAGATAATGCTATGGTTTAACAGTAGAAATTAATACGAAGTATAATTATTGCGCATGTATTTATCTTCATTGAATTACATATTAAATATGTTTTTTCTGTTCTGTGGAATAGGGACGATAGGGGATTTTATTTACCCTTTTTATGATAGGCCATGATAAACATTCAAATCATTTGGCGTTTCGTTTGGGCAGAGATTGCGATTTTGCATGGGACTATAACGAGTTATAACAATGTTTGAAAATTATTCAAATTTTCGATTAAAATATGGGACGAGGGACGATAATAGTGAAAATGTCAACGTGCAGGCTTAGACGCTCATCGCTCAAGTCTGATTTTGACAATAGGCAAGCTGTGATAACGAAGAAAATTATAGCATTTGAAATCCTGGAAGAAGCTAATGAACAGAAGGACTAGTCAAATCTCTTCAAAATCCTATGTAGGCTTTGATTTGTATCTCTGGAAGTTCAAATTAATCTTTCATCTTTTTTTGTTTCTTTTTATTTAGTCGTTGTCATGCTACCAGAATTATCGCCCTTATAAATTTTTGACTCAAATTATAGATGGACAGGCTGTGCTTTATTTTACAATATTTGAAGATTGCACTTATTAAAATTTTTCAGCTTTCTCACCCATTATAAGTACGAATATAATCGGTTGACATCTGCGTATCTAAATTAAAAACACAAATATAGAAAATATTTCTACAAACGTGGCAAAATCGGCTTAGGATCAGAAACGCTCTATTTATTCAAATGGCAAATAATATACATTCACCTTCTTCGATACTGGGTGTGAAAAGAGTGATATTTTTAAATAATGCTAGCAACTGAATTTAATAATTACATAACTGGGAAAGGAAACCTCGGTTTATGCCATTGATTAATAATAGAAATAAAATATATATTTCAATTGCTTGCTTATATACTTTGTTATTGTGTTTTGTATAAATTCCATAAAAGAGTGAACATTTCATTTAGCAGTGAGCTTTATTTATTTACTTGTTGGTTTTTGTCTTACGTTTCATAAGTTTTTTTTTACCTTGTCTCAAAGAGAAAATTAGGTTTGGTGGTGGTTTTTTTTTTGTTTTTTATTTTGAGGCAAAGTGAAGGTTTTTCTGTATTTTTGTTCTTTTTTTTTTGATTTCGTTGGAGGAGAGATATTTTGAAAGAAAAACTCAGTAAAATGTTTTGTTTTTGTATATTTGTTTAAATTATATTTAGTTTTTTGTATTTTCTTTTCTTTTTCCTTTTTATTTTTACTTTTTTTGGCAAATATTTACAAGTACAAGCAGTTGATTAGCTGCCTTTTAAATAAGAGAAAAAGAAAGAATTAATTTTCTTTTATATTCAAGCTTTTCTTTTTTTTGTTTTTGACGTACGCTTCCTTTCAATTATTGCTAATAAAAAAATATTTTATTAAGTAAATTTTATAGAAAAAAAAAAATTAAATGTACGTTAATTTGTAGGTTAAACTTAAATTTATATATGGTTTTTATTTTCGATCTTTTTATGCTTTTTTGCCTCTTGAGCAGAACATAACAATAAAAAGGTAGAATATTGGATGAAGTAAATTAATCGGTTTGCTTTAATGGAAATGATTCTTTAGCAATTAATAGCGAATATAAGAAATAATAGTAGGTAAGAATCTAACTTTTCATATATATACGAGGGTTGATCGAATATTTTAAAGATTTACTGTCACAAATTTTTTGATGTACTAATAGGTTTGGTAGGTAATTTAATTTTTTTTTTTTTGTTATTGACAATTTTCCGCCATCTAACTGTTGTTACAAACCTGAAGCTTAGATTGATAGATGGCATATGAAGCTTTTATCTGTCCGACCATCCCTTTGGTTTCTATAGATAAAGTTTAAAAATGAAACTAAGGCCATATTTGTGGGCTTTAAAAAGGCAAACACATTTTTTCAAAAAAAAATTCCTAGGGTTGTCTGTTTTTAAACTACCTTTATCTCGTCGTGTCGTTAAAAGTAATTAGATTACAGCACTGTAAGTTGCGTCCAATTCTTTAATGTTATCTATTCTGACGAAATAGTTTATTTTTAACATCTCTCACTACTTTGTTGCCAATATTTACTACACTACTACTACTCGGAAAAATAATCCACAACATTGAAAGCGTTTAATGTTGGAGGATTTTTCTTCGAATAAAACAAAAACATGGCAAATAGGTTTCTAGATAGGAAACGAACGAACTTTGAAGATGTTAAGCACTAAGTTCAACAGATGAAGTTTACTTTGAAAGATTAAAAAAGCAAATGAGAAAGTTATAGCTGGCCCTTAGGCTTACATATTGTGATTGCAAAATATATTACGAAAATTGAACTTGTCAGTTGGCCCGTGGGGATCGTTTTTACACTATTCTTTGTACCAAGTTTGAGACAAATATGTTTTCGTATTTTTTGCGTATTTGTACGTGATGGATCACTATTGTTTTCAACTAAGGGAGTATAAATCACGTTCGTTCCTTTGTCAATTTATATCTGTGAGCATTCCAACGACAAATGTCATTTATTGCAAACGGAAATATAAATTCAGTACAACTATATTAATAGTCACAGGATTTATTAATTACAAACGATGCGGTGGCCGTTACTTCATAAAAAATAATAGCATTAAAGTTGAATAACAATACTAAAGATCCGATTGCTCGTATCTATTAATGTCTCATCAAAAAAGGAGGTTCGTGGTGATATTAACAATTTGTTTGTCCGATCCCGAGCAAGCTATTTTGTTATTTCGGCATAGTAAAAAACTAGGCAGTAAAAATAAATAAACTTCAAAAAACATCGTAACAATTTTGATTACGATGATTGCCTCGTTATTTAACTATACTTTCCGTGCGTTAACGAAAGGCAGGAATAATGTGCTAAGGCAAGTGCGAGATTTTCGTTAGTCGTCAATAAATCTCATATTAGATATGGCTTTCAAAGTAAGAAAATATCAGCAAATGTCTACAAAATAAGAAAGGGAAGTTTAGCGATTGTACTTATACAACTCCGAAGGTTTAATCTTTTGATCAGCCCTCGTATACCCTTCGCATGCATGAAAATATGAATTCATATGCTTATGAAATACGTATTATCTTTTGCTTACTCAATGTACACGTGTTTATACATTTACGAAAATTTATTATAATTTCTTTAATGTTATTATTATTATTATTATTACTATTATTATTATTATTACAGAGAGCAGTACTTACGAGAAAGATTGAATTAAGTTTACATTGATTAACTTTCTTAATTTATTTATATACTTTCCTGTAAAACTAAAGTGCGAAATTTCTGTTTGTTATGCATATGAGAGAAATGAGTTGTAGTTCTTTGTTTTTATTTAATCTTTTATTTTATAAATTAACGAGAGTTAATGCTGTTTGGAGTTTTTCTTGTTTCCTTTTTTTTAACAATTTAGTAAGAACTTAAAAAAAAGGAGAAAATTCATCATAATAATAACTAGATTTATTTAAAAGAATGCTTTTTTGCCGGCAGCAAAAGGCAGAACTTAAGTATTTTCTTTTTAACCGAAAGTATATTTTAAACAAAAGAAATTTTTAATAACTTTTTTTAATTTCAATTCAACATTCGTACACTAGTAGAAAATCAACCAATGCTTACAATAATCTTAGTTATCCAACATCTTAGATGTGTATATGAGCGTCAGAGAAAATTCATTTAAATTTAACGCTGAGTTCTTTCTAATATATGTTTAGATATGCATAGAATTTTCTATAACTTAAGTATTTTTCTATTTGTAAGACTTTTAAAGGATGCCCAGGGTCCATTCGATCATTTTCGCAAAGAATTTTTATTAAACTATAAAACTTTGCTAATTATATGGCTGTTTAGTGTTTACAGTCTTTTATCCATAACTTAACCTTTCTTTAACTGTAAACATGTGTACGACTAACAAGTCAATAAAGGCTACATTTCCACAAAATTGCTTTCACAATTTAAGGCTTTGTGAATTGTAAGTTGATCAATGAATATTTCGGCTCGACTTGAGTACAGAACTTTTTTCTTAACTCAATAATGTGTATAGTTTAAAGTCCGTAGAATTTTTGCACACTTCGATATTCCTTAAATACTGGAAGCTTTGTTACTGACGTGTCAGGTCGTTATTCTACAATGATGGCTATAAAAATGTAATTCATATTGTAGAGCTATGCTTCGAACGGATAGACGGACGTGGCTACTTCAGTTTGGTAATGAATTTGCTATATAAATTTTGATACCACGATGGCGCCAAGTTCATCAAAATTTTTGGTTAACTGGATCATAGCAAATTCTCTAATAATTTCTTTTCTCTTATTCGGGAAACCGTCAAAGGTGGTATAATAATTGCTCTAAAAGTAAAATTGTTTTTTTTAACTTTGTTTCATAATGCTTATGATTGTTTGGGCTCTTGAATTAGAAGAAGATTACTACAAAGGTGCCGCCGTTATTTGCTTTGCTCCAAGTTTTAACGTTCCCATTTTGGACAACTGCCTCCGAGTTCGGCGCGCTAATTGACTGGTATCAATCATTCCGAAAATAACAAAAACCTTTCCACGATGATAATTGATATTCATTGAGACATGATTATTGAGACATTATAGCGTCATAACAGGTTAACGTCAAGTTCAAACTTTCTTTTTAGATTTTTTTTTTGCGGAGGTGACAGTTTAAACTGGAAATGACGGGTACACATGTCTAAACTGACTCAAAATATTGCCCTTATGAGACATACGTCCAGTCTGTGACAAAGCTGATACCTACTCCTGTTCTTTTCAGCTGGAGAAAGCATTTATCAAGTTTCACAGCAAAACAAATAGATCTTTCGTTGTTTAATTTTTGTTTTCTTCCTGCAAGTTGAGCTTACACAAGCAATTGTACCTGGTTTACGTGGTATTTGTTCTTATCTAAAAAGCATAATATTAATAAGCTCCTATTAAGTCGTCATAACCGGAATGCATCGCTTTAATCATCAGGTACTGCTTCTAAAGCTAATGGTCAAGATTTAGAGATAGATTTAGATTACATTTGCAGTAGAAAGCTCGCACGTAACGATTATTTTCCGTTGTCAAACTTAATCCGATTTGAAGGGCAATATTAGAGTCTTATTCTTTACAGTCACAAAAAGCGGGTCACGCTTCTCGCAGTGATTTAGTAATAGCTATCCCCACGTGAATTAAGAGTTATAAATGAAATGTCGTTGGCATTATCACAATCCTGTGTGTTCATTTTATAAGATTAAAATTCAAGTGATGGATTTGTGTTACTCTGTATGGTATAGTAAATCGAAAGTACAACGGATAGAAATTAAAGCATTCTTTGAATAAAATGTGAGCGTTCAAACGCATTAAAAAAACTTTCTGTTACTCTATCGCATTAGTGAAAGTTTTATTAAATATCTTAAATGTTATAAGTCTTTTTATGTTTAATTGTAAAGAAGTAAATACTTGGATGCGAAAATTCACAACCTCCATAATTCAGTTCATTTACTTTTAAAATATTAAGTAGGAAAGATTACGAATAATTTGTCTTCGGAAATTTCAGTAACATTCTTGTGCATGTGTAAAGACTTTCCTTTTGGAGTTTAGGAATAAGATCAGAATGACGGTCAGAATAGGTGCACATCACACTCGGCTGAAACTTATGACGATTTTCTACTGCAAATATGACCCGAGTGCTTGCACGTAAGGTTTGGTCGAAAATTATTGTAAATTTATTTAACTGATTTAAGCGAAACGCAGCACGTAAGAAAATAAACATTACATAAAATAAAACATGTCATTACCCACAAAAGTGAAACAGAACTCTTCCATTCCACCAAATGGTACAACTCAAAAATTATTTCAGTTATGCAGTCTAAGATAATGGCCTAGCCTATAAGAGTCATTTATTTAGAGACATTCCGTTTAAGGCGCTAACTACAAATTATTAACCGCAAAGTACACCTCAATCGGAAATCATCAAAAGGACCACGAATAGTAATTTTATGTTCATTTATAATGTTACATATACGGTTTTAATCATTTATTTTTGGAAGAGATGTCGAAAGCGCAAAAGTATGTTCTATTAGAAAATTTAAATGACTGAGGTCGCTTTATCAGAGATAAACGCCATGACGGTAACCTCAAACAATTTTTAAAAGTGCTGATGTGATATACCTTGAAGTTTGGAGGATTGGGGAAAAATTCAAACAAGTTACGACACGCTTATCTTGTAAGAAAGCTCTGTTTTGCTAGATTACAGCTTCTAATTTGTTTGTGAAATGATCGATCGCCTTAAATCGCATCTCAGAAAGCTATAAAGCGCAATTTCTCCCTAGTAATTTTGAAATTTCCCTAATAAGTTATGTTACAAAGTCCACTCTATGGCGTACATTCATCCCAAAGGAGCACATATATGCATGATAAGTTTTGACCTGTATAAACATGTCAGTAAGCTAATAGAATCCACGTCGAACAGTATTAGGTGACTATTACGTATTTAAACAATATCGTCATTCATCTTAATTTTTAAAGATTTGCGGGAACTTTCAAAATTCTATTTACCTGTTAACGTAAACGAAAATTATAAGTGTAGAGACTTCAGATTAAATTTTCGTCATTTTAAGGAATTAAAAAGTGATCACGAAACGTATCTAAGTGATTACATCGGTTCAAAGGTTTTTCCTATACAAGAAAATATAATTCTTTTATGGGGGAACGTTGCAACGGAATGAAATCTCATATATAGTGAACGGGACTAAAAACCATAAGATTTGATGCGATCTAAATTAACATCGCATTTAAACTTTGTAAGCTGTCCTTCTTAGGTTAATTCCCTAATATTTTGTGGTCTTTACTTTTCTCTACAACTTTTCCTACACTCATTGGATATTTTTGCTGTTATCGTTGAAGAAGTAATGAATTTAAAGTCTGCAAATATTTGATCAGTGCCTACATAATCAACATGATCATCATGTATTTATCATGTGATTTTTTCCTTTGCATAATTTATAAGAGAACGCAAAAAAAAAGATTATATAATGATAAAAAAATAAAATTACAATAAAAATTAAATTTTAATTAAACTTAGTATGATAATAACTATAGTAGTTCTTATTTTTTTTTTTTTTTGTTATTCTGTTTTTTTTCTGCTTTATAAATTTTTTTTTTGTTTTTTGTTTAACATAAATTACAACGGAAGTGTCGGTGTATTTGTAGTTGGTGTGGGCGTCAACATAGACGCGGATGGAGGATAACGCAACGTATGCTGCGACGTTGCTTGTTGTATATAATCCTGACTAGGATTATTTAAAACGCTATCCCGTGAATTTGAATGTGAAGTGGCGCGCAACAGAGTAACTGCTTCGCGTTCTGGACTACATTGGACACCATCTAGTCATTTTTGACGGGATGATTTCTTCTTCTTTCGTTTAAAGAAACAACAACATCTAAAAGGAACAAAAAAGGAACGAGACAAATATTTTTGTCTTTTCAAAAATGTTTTTTTTGTACTAACTTTGTTTCGTCCACAAGTTCAACCTCTGGTTGCTGTGTTATGGGAGTATTTGAATGACCAGCAGTGGGATCGTCCGCATTTAGTTCACCATTTGTCGAACTCACAACCTGAAAATGTACATGAAAAGACATAAGATTTCAAACTTAATCGATTTCCATATAATCTAAACATAACGGAAAATTGTATGCTTTGTTTTTTGTTCAAAAAGAAACACTAAAACAGCTCACATGTATGTATACATATATTTTTCTTTTAAAAGTTTAATAGAAACAGTACAACACACTTAGCGTAGGCATTTATCTAATTGTGTGGTGTGATCCGCATGAGGTCTAATATGATTGTTAGATGTACGTTTTAATAACAACCGATTTTCCACACAGAGTAAAGTGTAATCAAAATATGCTGATTGAATTTGTCTGTAAAACATATCGAATGACATTACTGCTACTGCTACTGATGATCATTGAAGATGACTTCAGAATTTCAAATTGCAGAAATATTAAAAAGATATCAGCAACGTGATTAGAATAGCACCGAAATATATTTAATTGCAAGAAATTCTTTTTTTACTTAAGAGTGGAAAATATGTGTGGATGATAACCGTGTACAAAGCCAGTCCTATCATGTGAAAAGCAATGAGATATTGTTTAGTATTTTTACATTACTTGTGGAATAAGGTACAAATTTTATCACACGTTTTCTTTTACCTAGATTCGTTTCAATAAATATACACTACGTGGGCCGAAACATTCCGTTGCGTCTTCTCAAGCAAGTACCCGCTTCAAATCCCAAAGACATTTGATCGATACTTAAGTAGTAGATTTGGCAAATTGGATCGCGAAAAGAAATAGTAACAAGTGCCCTAACGACTCTTTAAAGGAAATAAAGGAAAACGATGTGTACCTGCGGATGGTCCTTATTCTACAATGCTAAACCTCCTCTCCTCTCCTCTCCTCTAACCCACACGAAAACTTGCTTAAGCAAAGTGTAAACACCTGCAAGAGTAATATAAGCAGCGGAACGTTTTCTCATTATTTCTTGGCTTTTTTTATGGAATGATTTAGTATCATTTGTAACAGTTGAAGTAAGCTGAAGTCTCTGCAACGACTCTTATCCTAAATTTTTCACCGTACCGTACTAACATCACTGCAACGCTTAAACAAATGACCGAAAAGACGCGAAATTCTAATGCGCATCATTTGAGAGTTGACGTTTACTGCACTTTTTGTTAGAAACAGCATCTAAATGTCAGTCGCGGGAATTATTGAGCGACGTGTTATCATTGTTTTAAGAGCGTGTAGGTAAAAGCTTATCTTGCTATTGTCCTTCAAAATTCTTTGACGAAAATTTCAAGCAACGTTGAGTTAAATTTTATTATTGCTCAACTTTTAATACACATTTAACAATATTGCTTGTCTTATGATTTAGGTTAAGAGCGGTTAATGTGTAAGACGCAACTGCATTAGTACAAACATAACATAGAGTACACATATATATTCGTAATCACTTTCAGTACCTTTCGCATTTGTGAAGGGAGGGAAGGATAAACTATAAAACAAAATTCAAAAATATAAGATATTAAGGAAACAAAAACTTGTTTTGTTGTTGTTGGTTACTGTGTGTGTAAGAAAATTAAAAAAAAAAATTTTGTTGTTTCAAAATCGAAACATCAATGGTTTCATTCTTGTCATACAACGGCAGCGACATCACCATCAAAAGTAACAACGGCAGCATTAGTTGCAGTAGTAGTAGTAGTAGTAATAGTAGTAGTAGCAGTAGTAGCAGTAGTAGCAGTAGTAGCAGTAGTAGCAGCAACAGCAGCAGCAGCAGCTGTAGCAGTAACACCCTGACTTGACTCTTCATGATCACTTTTCACATGATATGGATCGAAAGGGCTATCATCATCACTGCCTGATTCTTCGGGTTGCCTCTAAATAATGATAATTGATATGCTCTCTAATCATATTTTTTTCAACGAAAATTTAATTTCTTCAAATGAAAATAAATGTAGAACATGCATTAAATTCCCAGATGCAATTTACTTGAAGTGTACAAAATAGTACGCATGCAGTGAACTGAAACTGAACTGGGCATGCTTTTAATTCAAGCAAAAAAGGCAAGGTAAAATATTGTGTGAAGCATACTAAGATTGTAATGGAAAGGGAAGCTATTAAAAACAATTACTAGGTGTTTGCAAAAATGTTGATCACTTTTTCACTTGAAAAAAGGCATTTATTTTAGAAAATTGACACAATATATATTAGTCAAAACAGTTTCCATCATACAATATTATATGATATTTTTGGCAAAATGGTGACATCATGTCAAAGGAACTTGTATTTGTTTGGCAGCGATTTACCCACCCAACTTTGGGGATCCGCTTGCCGGTCAACCCATGCTGCACCGATCTGAACAAGTGGTACTCACGAAGTGTCATATCTGATGAATACGGTGGGTGTGGTAAGGCTTTTCGTTCCAGCTGCAATATTTTGGCAGGGACAACTCTTGCAAAACGTGACCAAAAAATGTCGTTTTCAGAGATTTCTTCAAATAAACAACAAAAGCAATGAACTTGGAAGAAGAAGAATTTTAAGTACTCCGTGATTAGCGGGAGCGTACGCTGAATAAAGCAATAATATTAAATGGAAAAACTTATTTGTTATTATGTTTTTTTATGTAGAGGAAGATCAAAATGATCGAACCATTATTTACCATTTATTTATCATTTTTACCTGCAGAAGTCGCGGATCAAAATTTTTGGAAACACGTAATACAATAAAAATGAAATAGGGTTTCATGAGCAGCCGTGTATTCTATACCCATCACCTAAATAACGTGATTTTGAAAATTAATTGTAACAGTACCAGCTTGGTATCAACTCTAACAGCTCTATTCCGGTGCTGATGCTGGATGGTTGGTAGCCATAATGAGTTGTGAATGCGTTTTCTTATTATCATAGTTTTCGTGACATTGCGTCAAACTTGCTATTACAAGACAATAGCCAAACACATACAATAAAACCCTTCAATTACATTTTTGTTATGAGAATAAAAAACTTTGCGAACCCACGGGAAAACACGAAAAAAAGAGTTGTTGTTTAATGTACTTTAGTTTTTACAGTTGTATAATATGCGGCACGGAAATCTATGGGCTGTGATGAAGTAAATATTTTATTAGTTGTTTTAATGCTTGTCAACTTCTGTCTTCATGTGAGAGGTGCGTTCATTGCATTCAACGCGGAAGGTATGTAACAAAATTGCAAAATATTTGTAACTCATCCAAGTATGCGCCGGACACCACATAAACCGTAAATAGTGTCTTTGGTCTGTCTTTTAAAATAGCGTTCAACATGTAGATCAATTCGTCGACTATAGGAGCTATCTCTGGATACGTTCCATTTTCCTTTCAAATATTATCAGTCCGCCCAACAAACGAAAATCTTGATACGGTGCGTAGCTTTGCCGTGTCAATAACGCAACGATGTTTAAGGAATGAAAAAAAAACATATGTACTCCACGCTGATGGCGGGAACGTAAATTTGAGATTCTGTTGGGCATTACTTGATGGCCACTTGCCGGAATGTTGACAATCATTTATAATGCATTCTCAAGTAATTTACGCAAATTAAATTTGGAAACGATGCGAGGTTGCTCGCAAAATATATCAACAATTTTTTGGTTTCGTTTAGTAGGCGGTGCATCCCAATAATTGAACCAGCCACTTATATTCAACCCAAAACTAAGCTTCTTTAGTATGTTTAATTTAGGTGATGAGGGTTAAAAGATTCGCTTCAACACGAACACAAAATCTTTATTTGCATATATATGTAGTATATGAAATTTGTTCTACAAAACCCCTTAGTATACAAACTACTTGTGCACAGATTCTTTGTAACGGCATTTTAGTGTTTGTATTAGGAGGTACTTTCTAGATTTCCATTTTTAAGGGCTCTTTAGAATTACGTAACTTTGCTTATGTTTACTGAAAAGTAAGAAAATAAAAGTTGTGGTGGCACGCAGAGTGTTCCGTGTTCGGAGTGAGAGCAACAATCGTTCTGCAGCACAATACTGTACGAAAAACTGTTTTTATTAACTTATTAAAAAAAAAATTCAATACAAAAAAATTGCGTTTCGACATAATCTACGGATTCTTACAAATATACGGAAACACAAAAAGTAATACTTTTGCACATATAAAACAGAAGACTTTTGTAAGAAATACCTGTAATGAACGTAGAGTAAATCAAGAGAAAACATTAGGATTGAAAACACCAAAAATATAACTGTCTGCGCGGTTCAACAACACGATTTAGTCGTAGTAGAGTAGTAGGAGTAGTTGTAGGAGTATAAAGTTGATTGTACAATAGAGTGATGACGGTAATACAAAAATATTTACATACATATAAATATATAGGATAAACAAAGGGTGTTCCAAAATGGACTGGTGTTTCAATTTAGATTCAAATGTTATGGAGGTATTTCCATCTTTTTGGGTTAAGCTTAATGGCTCTTAGGCTAAAAGGCTTAGTTAATTAGAGGAGCAACTTTGGGAGCTGCAAGCCACGATTTGTATTAATTCGAATGGTACAAGGCTCTGTATGAACACATGTCCACAAGCAAATAAATCTTTTAATTTTAAGCCTTGATAAAATCAATATAATTTTTTTTAAAAATGGAGAAAAAAAAAGCTTTAAGCAAATAGATCAGTTCTGTCGGTAGTGAGGCTTTCTCCGATGGAAGTCATTACTTTTTATTCTTGCGCAGAAAATTCCGGTCAAAAAGTTGGCTAAGGTTGCAAGCAAATTTTACGAATATAGCTTTATTTTTATTGCCCCCGAAGATGCAATTTTCATCCCTATAAAGTTCGCTTAAATCGAATCATCGCGAAGGAAATTAAGGTCAGTATAAAAAAATCTTGGAAGGTTATTGCAATACAAAAACGGTTAGATTAGCCATTGTCATTCAATTGGTTTTCTTCACTCAAGGATAAAGTTTATCTTTTAATCGGTCTTAATTTGGAAGCTTACGTTAAGCATACACAGATCACAGATTTTTAGACATCTTGCAGCTCACTCTCAACTTTTCCACTCAACGCTTGCGCTACTTTCTGATTTGGTAAAGTAACAAACAAAGACTATGACTCGCAGATTTTTGTAAAAAATCAAATCCACTATTTAGCGAACTTTTTAAAAAATCAAATTTTTCGTTTATTAAAAAGTGAAAATTTCAGCTTATTTTGGTACACCCTTTCGACACAAAAACATTATATAAATTCATAGAAAAATTGTCATTAAAGAAAAAATAAGAAAACTGAAAATAAATCGGAGTTACACAAATTTTTCCTCAACGTAAAGCAAATTGTAAATCCTTTGATTTTTTGAAAGGCACGTAAAACGAAGGGTTTCTTGGTAACAAACCCAGTACACAGCACATAACACTAACAACAAGTAGTAGTAGCAGTAGTGGTATTAGAACAACACGAGCACTCACCTGTACTGAGCCATGCCTATCGGCTGGCGTTAAATTGCCCAGTGTAGCGCCTGGTTTTGGTACATCAGGCCACGCAGCAACACCTCCTTTGGCGTTTGTCTATTTTTTTTTTTTTTGTGGAGGCAGTACATCAACAATATTGTTCAAAATGTTAAGGACGCAGCAATAGTAGCAGTAGTAGTGATGTTGGTAGTGGAGTGGGAAGAGCAATATGGGGCCAATTGTACATATATAACAGCATTCATTTAATGGCCATATCAGTCAAGCACATTTTCAAGAAAAAAAAATTTTTTTGTTTTTTGTTAGAATCAACCATATATATATATATATATATATATATATATGAGAATGCGCATATATACATACAGAAAGTTTGTTATTGATCATTTCAAAAATAAATAATAGTAATAATAAAAACTTATTTTAGTTTACTGTTTAGATGGAAATTTCAACTAAGTTCTGTATAAATGCATACACAACATAACTAATAAAAACCTTTAGCCTGAATTAATAATAATAGATAATAAATAAAAAGAAAATAAATGCGAAAGCGAAAAGCAATAAACAATTTGTAAAAATAAAATGAACAAAGTTGTAGCAAAAATATCTTTATAGGCCAAGGAAACATATTGAAAGATTGGCATTTAATGCCTCGTAGCGTAATTGGTGAAATAGTGACTTTACAAAGTCTCGTAGTTTCTTTTTACGCTCATTAGCGTTATACCTATTTCGTTACTCGGTTTCGCAGCGAATTAGCTAAAATCGGGCGACGCTCGTTTGTGTATTCACTATTCGAATTCTCGAAACTCTAAAAATTGAAAACTCCCGTTTTTGAACAAGATTTCCCGAAGATAATCGATATTACCAAAAAAAAAAGAGCAAGACCAAAGGTGTTCCAAGGCGAATATAGCAACTGGAATCAGTACTTTCGAAAAAAAGTCGGAAATTACAAAGAGAAAAGCAAGTAAGAAAATGCTACACGATTGTAACCGAATTATATTATATCCACAAATATTGTCTTTAAAAAACAGAAAACTCTAAAATTTAACAAAAATTTGGTCATTCATTTTTTTTACTTTCTTTGCAGATGTCATTTTTGTCGCAATATTTATAGTAGATTATGAGAAATGAGAAAAGGAGTGTTGAGTTGTGCTCAGTTCGTATTACACTGTTGGTGTGTTCTTTGATCGATTTGTGCATTTTCAAAGTCAAGGACGTTTTAAAGTCGAAATCTTCGTTTTTGCGATCAGCAATGTTATGTAAATGTTATGCAAACAGATATTCCTAGATGAGATTGATAATTTGATACTGATCAAGAATATATATACTATATTCCTCTTTCAATTTTCCTTGTGAATGTTGCGAACTATTTGACGTAACGAATATACTTCCATCCTTTGGTGATTGGCAACTTCCTTTCATTTAATCGGTTTAGTAATTCAATAAAGTGCGTCAGTTTTGGTTGGTGTAACTATGCAGGTCTGCCCGTTTGTTAAAGAAATTGTAAAGCTTACATCGATAGAGAATTTGATTTCGATTAAGTACATGTAGAGTGGTAAATGAATGTATGAATTCGACATTACGTAAGTAGCGATTCATAATTTCGTCAAAAGTAATTGACTTTTGAAAATGAGAATGAATAAAAATAAATTCTAAGAAAAACGTCATTTTTCAAAAAGTCGAGTCAACAAAGAATACAAAGCTTTACAGGCTTATGAAGAATTCTCCTTACGAAAATGCTTTATCAACATCAGTAGCAAGAAAACAACTTGTTCGCCTGTCGTACGCCGCGCTCTAATGGACCAACCTTTGATGAAATTTTTCCGAAAACTGAGGAACACCTGCAGATTTCATTTGACGCCGTCACCGCGGAACTAAACATTGATCAGAAAACGTTTCGAAGCATTTGCGGGAAGTCGAGCAACTTTTGAAGATATTGGTAACAATGAAAAGTGGGTTACATATAATAATAGTGTCTGAAGCGGTTAAAGAAAGATGAATCTGTACGAGCGTTGGTAGAAGATGGTTTGACGCTACTTAAGGTAAGGTCAACACACAAACACACACACACGGCACAGGGCTAAGCTTAGGCTACTGTGGGGGCACGAGTGGCTGATAGTAAGCGGTGTGGACGTATCTTGGGATATATTTGCAGGCTAGCTGCGTATAACCAATAGGAAGTCTGCGAAGAAGAGCGGAAGAGGAGGAGTGGCGGCTGAAAAAGCCGCACAACCTTGCGAATCTTCGGCGGCAGAACGAGCAGGTGCTCCCCATTCCCAGTAAGAGAGTGACAGCGAGGCAGAAATACCAGTGGTTTAAACCTATCGGTAGGCATCAAGGCTGAGACCAGTAAAGTCTTGGTTTTCGTACACCGGAGTTGAATTGGCGCTATTGGGCTGGTGGTGGCAATATTCCGTGACCTGACTATAAGGGGTTACAACTTGTCGAAATGGCTTTTGGGCTCACTGCCTCCGCTGTGGAAACTCTGAGAAAAATGCTCTAGGTCGTTACCTGATATAGTTAGCTGGACCTGGCACTGAACGCTAGGCTCATAGGGGCTAGCGTCAACCCTCTCATGGGTTCTATGCTTGCATAGATAACCATGGGGTCCGTTAAAGCCAATATACCCACGAAGCCGGATAGCGACTTCTTAGTCGTTGCCCAATCAAAATGAATTCCCAAAAACTAATGAAAGAGTCAATTAAAAGGCTAGTCAAAGAAGAAAAAGGAAGGACTGTATCGTATTTAAAATACCACATCGGTAGAATTGGGAAGACATATTTCACGCAATGATGCGGCTAATATCACAACTAAGCCAACTATCACAAAAGCCCGCGCGGCATAGCTACTCACAGTTAAAAAAAATTTTGAGACCATTTAATATTAGTATTTTGTTCGGGTACAGCTATCAAGACAGCAAATAGTCCTTTTTTGGAAAAAAAAGGAGGGTAAGAATTCCACAATTTATTTCCGTAGCGATATTATTAAAAAAAGTTACAAAAAGTTCTATCCCAACCGACTTTAACGAAAATTATCTTTAAGTGGACGTGTAGTGATTGGGCTCATTCAATATTGGTAATATGTGGTAGAGCTGGCTGCAAGCACAAAATATGCGATAATTGACTAAATTAGAATTTAGAACGAAGTCGAAAATTCACAGAGTGTTTGAATACAACTACTAGACTTTAGAGCAGCAGACAATTAATGTTAGTTTTATAATAAAACGCTCATAAGGAAATAAATCCAACATTTTAGTTAGTAAAATTACTACACGCTTCGTACACGCATACCGTACATAGAGAAATTAGTTTAGCTACTTTAATAGCAAAACAAAAGCGTTTATCGTAAATTAGCTTACTGATCATCAAATAAATAAATTAAAAGCATTAAGAAATAGTAACAACAAAACACCTAATTAGTGCCTTACAAACGGAACCAAAGACAGAAAAAGAGAGCGATTTACTTAGTTAATTATGATAAAAACTACCACTGAACCGTTTATAATTGTAATCAAAAGCTAACCTCAAGTATTAAATATTCATCATCATCATCATTATCATCATCATCTTCATAATCAAAATAAGAAGCATCCTTTTTATATCCCATAATTAATTTAAATCAAAGTAGAAAAAAATGAAGAGAATAAAAAATAAATAAAAAAATGAAGGAAACACACAGACAAGTCGTACTTAATAACCAGGAGATAAAAAGAGAAAGACGATAACGAAAAACCAAGTGTTTAACCAAAAACCCAAAGATGTAATATAATATAATGTTGATGTAAATAAACGAGATACAAAAAATAAGTAAGTAGAAGTAAAGGAAAAAACAGTTTTTGTAATAAGAAAAGAAAAATTAGTACATTACCTTGGCTGTAACATTATGACGATCTTTATTTGGTGAGATAATAACCTCATGGCCAGTTTGCAAAGACCCGACCGGCGTGGACTGTTACCGGTGTTGTTCGTATCGTTGTTTTCGTTATTGCCGAGTTGTTCAACAGATGATAGATATTCGGTGTCGGTGGTGGTAGTAGTGGTACACATTTTTGGGTTAGTAACCACACATTAAAGTAGTGCGTGCATATACGTCAAGTACATATTTCAAGATGAAGAAAATGATCAGAACGTGTGAATAAATTAAAAATAGTTTATACATAAATTTGTTTGTTTTTTTTTTTTTCGTTTGGAATGTTATTCAATATTAGGAAGGAGAAATTCTCAATAACACGCCATTTAAGCTCATATAGCATTTTATACACACACATACGCAAATACTAGGCACTAATTTGCAATAAAACTGTGTAAGAAACTTTTACTGAAGTACAACCACGAATTAATTTTAATCGTTACAAGTCTAGCTTAAGTTTTAATTAATAATTAAAATAAAAACAAGAATGAGTTTATATTCGCCTTAAGCCGAATTTTCTGATACCCACCACCTGAAGTAGTTGATTGCAAATATTTATAATTGCTTTCAAAATGCAGAACTAACATTTTTATTGTTCGTTGGCCCAAATATAGTATTTTAAATACATGAAGTGTAATACTAACGTGGTGCATTAACATACGAAGAATGCAAGAAAGCTGGAGGGGAAAACGAATTGCATGGCAATGCAAATAGGAATTTTGTGAATATGCTCACATTTTAGAAAAAATTTCGAAATGACTTGGAAAAAGTGTTTAAAAATGGACTCAGATCTGTATTAATTGACAACAGGAATTATGACACATAACACTTCGTAGTCTTTTTCTGGTCTTTCTAGCCCTCAATCTTGTCGTCGCGGGTCAAGCCGTGTTGATTTTCCAACTTGATCCGAAACAAGGCTCAAAAAATTGAAACATAATTTATTTTTACTCTTGAATCAGTGGGCTGAGAGAAACACAAGCGGTATCGCCTATATAGCTTGTGTTTGATTGCGGTTCACTTCCGATGTATATTTAGATGCGTTACAAACAATTGGCAATTCTGACCATCACCTTCTGTGATGAATATATCCACCAACGGAGTCAACTACACAGAACTTTTTTTTCATGGATTAACGGTGTATACATTCAATTATGCATACAGTTTATACCTAAGTAGTTTTCTCTTACCATTTCAAATCGAGATTTCCTCTATTTCAGAAGCTATAGTTGAGAAATCTTTATTTTTTCTGTTTCAACTTTTCGAATTATTCTTTGCATTGACCAAATATAATAGATCTTAGCTTTCTAATCACAAAATTTTTTACGACATTCTAACACGTCAAAAATGGATAGACCAGTATGTCTTCTTACGCATGCCCCTTCTTCTAGTAGTGGATATATGGAAAGTGTAAGAGGAAAATAATTTTACGAGAAGTTAACTTAAAAAATAAAGAAAGAGTACCTTATCCGACTTATTTTTAGCTAAATGAGAAGGTGGTGCATTTTTAATAATTTTCATTTGCTCAAGTTGTTCCTTTGTCTGCACAGAAAGTTTAAAAAAATAAATAAATATTAAAATTGTGTTCATATAAATTTTGTTATTGTTTTCTTTTTCTCAATTGAATTTGAAATATAATTGATTTCAAAAGAAAATTAAAAAGGCATGAAAACACAAAAATTATTGGTGAAATTCTTATGTAATTAAGAAGAAAAAAATTGAAATAACGAAACATTTTACAAATTGTTTTGCTGTTATTTTCTAGTTTTAGTTATTGCTTTTTAAAATTATTGTTGAATATGTCTAAAGAGTGTTTACTATGTTGTAACAGAGAACCTTGAAATATTTTAGACAAATAGATAATTTTTTTGTTTTAATACAATATTCGGAAATCAGTAAATATATCGATGTATATATATATATATATATATATATATTTGTACGTGTGTATGTATATATACATTTGTTTATTTTTCGTGAAAGAATATACTATTATAGGCATATATAAAAGATAGCCTAACATGTATTATTGGTTCAAAAAAATAAAGATGAAATTGGTTTGCTTTTCTACTCTCCGCGTGGCAACATATCAGTCAAATCATTGTCATCATCATTTTGTTATTCCTCTTTACTTGAATTTTTAAAAGAACTGTTGAACACACACATACACGCACATTCATATAAATTTGCACGCACACACACAGGAGAAGTTGAGGAGGGGAAGTATTTGCTCTCCGATTAGAGTTGTTTTTGTTTTCTGATTATTTTTGATTTTTGAGGGGTCTTTATTATTATCGATTTGTTTCTTTTTCTTTCAGTTGATTTGATTTTTCTTCTAAGTTTTGGATATTCTTTGATTTCGTTGGTCTTTCACTTTCAATTTCTTGAAATTAAAAAAAAAAAACGAGTGAAAAAGGCGACACCTTTGCAATAACAACAAGAAAGAAGAAATTTGAGAAAATTCCGACACCATTTCAGGTTACAAATTAAACCACATAAAAAGTGGAATTCAAAACCCATCAACTTTGAAAATCGGAAATGTAAACGCTCATGTTAGGAAATCGTAAATTGAAATTTAAAACTTATTTTGCAACTAGGATTCGATAACAGCGCTTCTGAACTGTTATAGTGAAAGTTCAGACCAATTGAATACAAAAATTTGAAAATGGATCCGATTCGGAAGCTCCGTTTAAAATAATAAATTAATCACTCTTAAAATGAAATTAAAAAACTTGCGAGCTATAGCTGGAAAAGTTGCCCTCTGAAATGTATAATTAAAAGTCAAACTCGAAATTGGTAGTTGGGAGAAGTCGTTATAAACTAGAAATCGAAGTTCTTCAGTTCAAAATTCAAAAATTGAAAATCCGGATCTACATTGAAAATTAAAATTCATAGATATAATTTGAAGCACTGCTTAAGACGTAAATTGAGAGTTTAAATTGCCAATAAGAAACACAAATATTTGGATTTTTTAACAAAGATCATATCATCATTGAAATTCAGAATTTTAGGAGAGATTCAGAAATACTGAATTGAAGAGATAAAATACCTCTCATTGGAGGTTTGCATTGCAAATTAAAAAATCACAATTTGTCAGTTTAACTTCAAAAACTATTCACTGAAATTCAAAAAAACTCGCAACTTTGAAAATATTGTAACTTTTAATTTCCAAGTTCATTATCGTAAGTGGAAAATTCAAAGTTCAAATTTACAACTCTTACTTACGACGAGCTGCAAACGGAACTTTACAGGTTTTTAATGTTATGAATAACAATAAAAACGAAGTCAAAAATTATATAGTATTAATGCCACATTAGTGGTGTAAAAATATACATTGAAAATCCTAATTTGAGAATTCCGACCTGTAATGATAAAACATAATCTCGAAATAACGGCTTTTAAATGTAATTAAATTTGAATTTACGATGTGCCCTTTTTTCATATTCATTCATTTCACATTTCCCACTAACAAGTTATTATCTTATAATGTCAGATGTTATGTGGTCCGATTTACAAAATGAAATGGTTTCGAGAATGACACACACCTTATTAGCGCCAGGCTCTTGATCGTCTTCACTTGAATTATTCTGTATATAAGAAGTATGTGAATATGAAAATAATTCCCAACAATTCATATATAAAATTCGAAATTCAAATCAGTCACCCTTATGTTTTGTTATTTTTTTTGTATTTTGTTTTGTTTTTTTTTTTTTCGATTAGATTAAAACATCGTTCAGTTTTATAATAGAAGTAGTAGTAGTATTAGTTGTTGTTTGTTATCAATCAATTCATTCAATCAGTGCAACAAAACAATCAATTCAATTTTCATGAGGTTCATGAATTACGTTTTCTGCCTACCATTGCTTTCCCTGTCCAGTCAAATTCACCATCATCCACATAGCCTTTACGATCGAACAAGTCTTGAAACAGTCTTCGCAAAAAATCATAATCGGGCGTTTCGAAAAAGTCTAATCGCCTCACATAACGTAAATACGTAGAAAATTCCTCAGGATGGCTATCGCAAAGCACCTGAAATAAGTCGTACAAAAAATATAGAAGTAAAGATACATTTTCCAGAATTTTTTTCTGTTTATCAACTATTATATACTATGAAAACTGATTTTTTAACTTTTATTTTACCTCAATAGGTGTTGCCCGTTTAGTGTCACCAATTTTTTGATAACGTTCTTTAAGTGTGTCGGCCTTAAGACCTTGCCACGGCAGTGAACCTCTTAAGAAATACATGAACATATGACCTAATGCTTCTAAATCATCACGCCTCGATTGCTCTCTGCCCATATGTGTGTTTATCGACATGTAACGTGCGGTGCCGGTTAAGGATTTATGTTCCCGATATGGTATGTGTCTATTTGTATCTAAATCAATATATTCTTTGGCCAAACCGAAATCTATATCAATTAGAATTCGTTAAAAAAAAGAATAAAAAGATGTTAGAATTTTCAAAATGCATTACAGCAATAGCTTCATTGGTGTGAGTGCCTCTTCGTCCTTTAAATTTTTTTTTTGTTTATACTAATTTTCGTTTTTAATCTTAATACAATCGTTACCGTTTTCTGAGGGATCAACTTATGTTCCACCGTGGTGGATAAAAGTACATATATTCCCGCATCAAATCTTTATGTGTTTTGTATTTCAATATTTATAGTTTAGTCCTTATATATAATTAAAATACCATTACACGTCATGCAAACGCACCTGTCTGACACATGGAATACACAAACCACAAACTTTTTGACGGTTGCGAAAAAAAATGAAAATGAAACCCCAGATATACCTAGCCTATACAGATTTTTCTACAAATATACGAATAGGAAAACTGTATTCATTCCGAGGCGAACTTTTCTGTTCTACATTGTTGGACACTTGAAAAATCTGAAACGCCGGCAATCTGCCCCTCTACGAACAACTGCAAGAAAAAAAAACTTGAAATCTTTACCAGATATTAACAAAAAAAATCTTAACAGAAATATTTATAACAGAGCAGGGAGATTACATCATTTTCAAACGGAATTGAGGAGCGTGACGAATACTATATGAAACATCAAATCTTGATTAAAAACAGCTTCTTACTGCTCAGCTTCGAAGCGAAAACGAAGATGGTCAAAGATTACCCAACGTAGTTTATGGTATCAATTTCTCGAGTTTCAAATCAGTAAAACAAGATAGTAAGGTCATTGCAACGGACGAATTGGAAAATTCTCGACCAGATCTTCTTGTATATCACTAAAACTCAAATAATTCCTCCAGAGAAAGAATTTCTCATCGAATGAACCATACAAAGGAATATACTAAGTCAAAGTAGTGTAGTAAAAAAAAAAAATTTTTATTCTATTCACATATTTCTATTATCATTACGCATTACATCACACGTGGCACAAGGGTATAATAAGTTTGTACGAATGTACGCAACACCCACTTTTTATTATAACAATCAACTTAAGCTTGTCCGATACTCGAAGATACTTCGACCTGACTTATTTTGGCCTAAGGAAGAAGACTAACGGAAATGATTTGGTTAAGGTAACTTTTTCGATCACTTCAAGTATGACGCCTAATTTTGGAAAGTCGTTATATGATTAATGATATGGTTGTGCAGGATATTTGATATATGTGCAGGAAATTTAATATTTATAGTGTTTTTACTTGTTTTATTTCCGCCTACTACCTATTATACAGATAATGGAAAATTGCACAATTTCGGAGCATTAATATGAAAACGTCACACAAGTTTCTGATACAGTTGACTATGGACATGATAATTGACATTCATTACAATGTGGTATGATTCCAAGCAGTGTTCGAATAATTGAAATATTTCTTCCTATTGATATAATGTATTTATTATACAGACGTCGTAAATATAAAATTTCCGTCCGTTGAATTTCGAATTAATCTTATTCCTTCTTATCCTATATGTTGATTAAGGAAACAAGTACATATACATTCAATTTTAAAAATCTCGAACTCACCTATAATGTGTATAATTTTTTCTCGCCTCGTTGATGTTCTACCGATGAGGAAATTTTCCGGTTTAACATCTCTATAAATTAAGTGCCGACTATGAACATATTCGATCCGGTGGAGCTAAAAAGATTTTAGGTTACTTCCGTAATAAGCAATTATAAAAAAAAAGAAAATTTTTTCATTTATAATATAGAGAGTATTCGAAACAAATTAAAAATAAAATGATCTTTCATTATTTACTATGAGAAGAATTCAAGACAGTGTCTCAACTAGCGTTGTTTCTTTAGAATGAAGTAGTTAATAACAAAGAAGTTTTGTAATCTTACTCTTAACTAAAGAAGTTTAGAAATGGAGAAAGTGAAACGCAACAACGATCCTTAACGGTTTCTTTTAAATACATTTTTTATTTGCGTAAATTTTCAAATATATTTAACTGGCTACTACTTGGTTGATACAAAAATAAAAAGATAACATGAAATTTGCTAACGTCAAATAGTCAAAGGATAGTCCAGTTCGAAAACCAACAGTTTTTATAACGAAATGAATGGCATGCGAGAGGTTATAAGGGAACCTATTAATAAAGTTAGATGTTAAGCAAATGAACATATTTTAAGCTTAAACTAAATTATAATGAATAAATTACCAACTTTTTGAATAATAATAATTAAAAAGAATATAATAAATAATAATTTAAAGATTTACAAGAAAGTTAATTTAAACATTAGTTAATGAATACTTCGGTATATATATATACATACATATACATATATATATATATATATTCTTTTTTTTAATAAAGGGCGATTATTATCCATAATACTATTTATTTTTAACTGATTGTTTGCAAAACACTTAAAATATTTTATTAGATAATTTTTTTTCTGTTAGATGATTGCTGTATGGTTTTACGGTGAATGTTGATACTTTTGTGTTTGGTTGATTTGGTTTGGTTTGTTTTTGTTTTGGTTTAATGGTGTACTTACTAATTGTATAGCTATCAGTAGTACTGTCTTCAAAGAGAAACGTCTGCCGCAAATATCAAACAAATCTTCAAGTGATGGACCGAGCAATTCCATAACAAGAGCATTGTACTTGCCGCAAGGCCCGAAGTAATATACTTCAGGTACGCCTTCTGCTACAATAACAACAACAATAGTAAATTTTCGTTTTCATTCTTTCTCACTTCTTTTCTTTTCTCCTCCTATATTATGTAACAAAAAATTTATTTATTTTATTTTTCTTTTCTTTTGGTATTTAATCTTTGCAAAGGAATTGTCAAGGATTTCTCAAGGATTAAAATGAATTGATATTATATGTGTGAAATTATTTGGATTGTTGTTGTTGCTGTTGTTGCTGTTTTCTTTCAGTGGAAGGAATTTAAAAAAGCAAACAAGTTGAGGAGCATTAAAAAAATATATATATTAATAATGACAATAATATTAATGATGATAACAATAATGCGTAAGAGCAGTAGCAGTAGTTAGCAACAGTAACTAGCAGCACATGAAATTGATATTGAAGGATATGGCAATTATTACTATTCAATATTTTTTAGGTTAGTTAAATAACAAGAATTTGAACGTGAATCCGCGACAACAATTACCACCTAATTTTATTTATTTATTTATTCTTTTTATGCAAATATAGAATTTCTCGACAGCATATATGCAAATAACATCTTTTGAAGTCAAATGCGCTACTTAAATGAATTTCTTTTAACGAGAACAAACAAGTCTCATAAATAATAATGATGACATAACGGGATAAGTTAGTGTTAAATTAAAAAAAAGGAAACAAAAACAAATGTATTAGTAAAAGGAAAACCACATTCTAATATTTCTAAGGGAGTTTTGATATTTATTACTAACATGCAACTTAAATTCGGAAATTGCTAAGATTCCGTTTAATCACGTTTATATAAGATTAGATTTTTAAAGTTTATTCGTCTATATTATCATTTTCAATACGAGTCCTACTTTTGTTTGGTATATATATTTCTAGACAACTGTGTCTCTTATTCGCTGATATGGTATATTAATAATAGCATTTCAGTGCCTTATACTCGATATTTGCTCTGGTATTTTTCAGGTTAGTTAAAATTTACCATGAACCGAGAAATTTGTGTACACCGGCGCCGTTGTAATAGTTGTCCATCATCTCAAACAAATGCATAAGCACAAGTGCAAATAAAAGATTAATGAGGCGTTAAGAAGGCCCTCTTTGAATATATATCGTATATCAATATCTGCTACAGACTAGAGTCGTCGTTGTACACATTTAGCAATCACTTAGAAAACGTCAATACACAACATATACTCTGAACAGGGGCAGATTAATTAAGTAATGTAATTTATAGAGAAAAAATTAAAAGGCTTCTTGTACGGAAAACTGCATTTAGCAGTATTATATAAAAAAGTGGCAGTAGGGCGTAAGAAAAGTCCAAAATGTGCCGCGTCCAATTAAAAGGTATGCCATCTGACAGTTGTAAAAAGAATTCTCTTCAAATTAATTTATTCACTATAACGTAAACTAAAAAGAGGAAACATCGATGTTGCCATCGATACGCAATTGGAAATTGCTCTAATACACAGTTTTTGCCGAAGGAAACTTTCTTAGTAGCGTTGTGATACTTGGAAGGATTAAAACTTTGCTTCCTTGCTTCGAATATTAGTCCAAACTATGACTAAATCTGAAAAAACCTTGAAAGAAATTACAGTCTCTGAAAATAATTGTGCCGCTGCTAGTATCTTCTAGTCTTCTATAATATGTTCACTTATACTTTGTTTTGCCAGTTGTATAGCATCTATTTATTTCGATGTATAATTTGATGAACTACTGCTCATAACATTATCATTTCCCGTATGAACATTGAATTAATTGCTGGTTCCGATCAATATACGCGAAGCTTTCACCACTTCATTCCTCCATCAAAATAATGTAAGTAATATAAGCAAAACAAAGTTTAAATAATATAAATCGGGCCGTTAACATCTCAAAACTCGGTCGCGGCATTTTTCTGAAATTGTAGGCATGAAATATTTCCTACGCTATGTTATAACATACGATAGTCGAGTATACCTATTTCGCTTTGAACAAAATACATAACCGAGACGACAACCAGGTATGGTTCAAATAGGGTCCTTTCATTCATTTCATATATATGTACCCATATATTCATAGCCAATGCACGATTCATAATCAGTTAATTTTTCATGTCAACATTCGCGTCGCTCTGCACTTGGAAATCTCAAAGCTGTAATAATCAGAAAACCGTGGTAAATATAACCTTCGTTTCAATTTACAAGTAAGTAAGTTTAAAAATAAAAGCGTGCCCTACAAATACCAAAGTGAAAAATGTTATCCACCAATTACCCATCAAAAATTTGCCACAGGCAGATGTCAGGACCATTTTTCAGTATCTTGTGACTTCAGCATGTTTAAAAATACAAGATGTTATGCGCATTTTAAATCGGTACGAGAAGAACAGCTGCTGAAATTCTACAGTATTCTCATCAAAATACCCAAAAACACACGTCACAGTTTCCACAGAGTGCATATCGCACAATTCAATATCTTAAACAGAGAACTAAAATTTTCATATCAAAATTAAAAATGAACGTAAACTGCCAACTTCCAATGTAAAGTATATATTGGTCGAATAGTTACAAATAGGTCCTCTAAATCATCTTCGCATTTTAAAATAAATAAAACATCCAAGATTTGCTGCAAAAAGAATTCTCTTAATGTTATGCTTTTGATATAATGGTGATGTAATGACATGATATGTTCAGAATAATGGGCGTTCGCCTTACAGCGGACTTGCGCTTCTAAAGTTATCTCTTATTAAACGTGCTTTGCATAATTCATTGTACAAGATATCTTAAATTTGTGTGGAAAATGTTTAAGATAGACTCACTTTTTATTATATCGAAGGAAAATCATTTTATGAATCCATTTAGCTACATAAGTCTGTCTGCCTCTCTGATATATGCCGATGTATTTGATACAATAAGTTGCTTATTTTCAAGATTTTTGGACAAAATTTAAGGACAGGACTTACTAAAAAAGTATTAGAAAACACCACTTCTGTGCCCACTTTTCATATAAAAAAGTCTTCTGCTACGCTTAGTAATAAAAAAAAAACATTACAATTACCAAAAATGTCGCGATAAAAATAGCTTAGTATTGGAATTCCTGCAGTCGGTGTGAGAAATATAGATCAAATCTTGATCAATTGAATCAATTTTTTTAACCCCTTTCTATACAAGTGTTTTCACGCAAAGTTAATCTTTATGAGGCAACAAAATTTAGTTTTTAGTAGTTTAGGATGAAGAACAATAAGATCTTTGAAAAGAAAATTAATTTGCGCTATATTTGCATTAAGGCAACCTAGCGTCCCCCACAATAGAAGAGTTTGCAAGCAAAGTCTGGAAACAAGTATCAATTTTGGCTTTTTAACTCAAAAATAAGCGAAGAATTACGGAAAATGTCTTAACACATTTAAGAGTCACGCTTGTCCAATTGTAATGTTTTTATTTGCTTTTTAATTTCTCACAGAGACGATGAGTTGTACTTTATTTACCCAAACAACATTGCAATTATCCCAAATACGTAAATACTAATTTTATATCATCTACGCGTACGTAGATAAAAAAAGGCCCGAATTATCGATTTTATCTACTTAAAGTAAGGTTTAGAGGAATGGAAGAAATAGAAATAAAACTTAATAACTACTTTTAAAGATTTACTTTAAGTCATAAGAAAAAAAATAAAAAAAAAAAAATTTTAGCAGAGTTGAGACACTTTAAAACAAATAATGGTTCAGATACTAATAAAAAGATTTAAAATTCATGTTATGACCGGACATAACGATTTCTTTTTATACAAATCCAAAATTTTCACATAGGGCGATAAAATTAATGAAAGCAAATAAAGTAAAAAATGAAAAAGTTTGAAAAAAAAGAAGACTTACAAGTTGTTTACATATCATCAGTACAGTCTTAAGGGAAAATTTACGGTTGCACATATTGAAGAGATCTTCTAAAGATAGTCCCAACAACTCTAATACCATGGCATTGTAACGGCCACCACAAGTGCCCAGATGGAAAACACGAGGTATACCTTCCGGACAATGCTGAGTATCTAAAATGTTGGGTAGTTGTGGTTGGAAGGTGGCGATGACGGTCGTGGCATTAAGTGTGCAATTCAGGAAAGAGTCACATAAGGCAAGCATATCATGATAGGGATTTTCACGAATATTTGAATGAATTTCACACACAAAATGAGTACCAACCAAACGTTCGTTATATGTAAAAATAAGATTTTTGACTTTTTTAAAAATTGTTCTCTAATTTCTTCTTTTTTTAATAGAAAAGTACAATACAATAAAAATATCTATTACATTATAGTATTAATTAGTAAACCACAAGAAATTAATAATAAACAACTAATTAAGGTAAAAACAAGTTTATTTTTTAACTTTTTAGCACCGACCTCTGAGATATGCTTGAGAAAATCTATAACTTTTCTTTTTAAGGAACTTTTTCTTTTGTCTTTTTTTCTTGTTTTATAAATAAATAAATAAACATACATTTGGTTTCATTTGTCTGCTAAAAATAATCGGCAGACAGTGATAAGATAGTGGTAGTGGTGATATGGTGGTGGTAACGGTGCAAGGTTGACAACAGACGCAATCAAATTAAAGTTAGTAATAAAATTTTAAGAAAAACAAAAAAAAACAAACTGAAAAGATTCGTTTAGGGCGAAAGGAATTAGCACAAAGTTAAAAAAAAAGAAAAAAATAGGCTTTAACACTAGAACTACGAAGTTGACATTATAGGTAAATGGTGGAAATCTCTTAGATCGGCAACGAGTCCAAAATATAATTTAAATGACTTACTAAAATAACACTTAAAAATGTGAATTTTCAGTAGTTTTGCTAGACATTCATTTTTTGATGTATGAAGAGCATAGTGTGTTCTACGTTATTATCGGTCGGTCTTGCTCCCATTACTATATTTCGATCACTCAGGCTAAAAGACTTGTACAATATCTTGTCACCTAAGCTGCTAAGATCGCAATCGCAGTCTTAAAAGTTTGTCCAGAGGACGAACAATAAAATCTAAATATCTAAATAGAACAATTAGCCAAATCATTCACAATTGCCAAAGGCCACGAAAAAATCTATTTTTGGCTTTGAGTAAATTTTCTCTGCTTGCGTTCGATATATCCCCGCACCATAAGACGGAGATCCCTGCCTTCAATCCATTTCCATTCATTGCATATCATGCGTACTTCAAATTCAGACAGGCAGACAAATATGGCTTAAACAATTCCGCTGTTAATGCTGATTAAGATCGTATATATGAGGTCTCTGAAATATATTTTGATACATTGGAAACATTTGATAAATACGCGCCTTGGTGTGGCTATGACAGAGCGGAATATATATAAGGAGAGACGGTGTAAAATTGTGTAAAAATAAGGTTTAAAATATTAACAATATAAGAGATAAACAGTACAATACGCGGCGCGAATATTATTTAATAATCAAATAACGTATATTTATTGGCAAACTAGAAACAGCTAACATGTCCCATGATATTACTTAAGTAAACATATCAAAGTGCTACAATAATTTTGAAAACCCAAAATTAGAGTGGCTTTGGTAAATCTTTATGCACTGTAGCAATTCGACGCGCCACAATATAGACTGCAAGTGGCAAGATACAATGATCGCTTTTTTCCCATTTAACAAAACAGGTCCCTTTCATCGATTTCGCTAATTTTATAAAACTACTGCGCAATCTGGACTACTTATAAAGCGCTCAGTCTGAAGGCTTTTTAATATGTCTTCTAATTCTAGTGTTAAGGAAATTTTCGATTTCTTTCTTTTTGGTTTTTTATGTGTAATCTTAATAGTTTAACGCTTTCCAACTGAGGAAAGAAGCTAATAGGTTCAACAACAACAATAGAAATAAGCATATAAAACTTACCATGTGATCCTAATAGTTTATAAAACCTATACTCTAAGTGTAGTTGAGGAGCCTTTGATTTCATTGGCTCCATTTTTATTGCTACGTGTTCATTGTTATAGAGATTTTTGCCTGTAATTGAAAAATGTAAATAATTAGAAATCGAACCCAAATTAGTTAGTTATGTTAAACAAAATACATAAAGTTACATATATGTATGTACATTGACCACACAAACACATATAAACATATACATATATAAAGTTAGCAAAAGCCGTCCAAAAAGTGTGTTACTGAACGCACAAATATTAATCGAATGTAAACTATGCGCCTTTTATAGGAAAACGTATTTAACATATTTGCACCGAATAGACTAACAATGCAGATACAATCAATAAAAACAATCTTTTTCATTCGTAAAATCTCATACATTTATGTCTTTCATTTTTCCAATACCTCGTGTCGAAGTGCTGGTTAATTGAGCGCAGGAGGGAAAGTAGCACAAACGACGACCTGTTGAATAATTTAGAAAGCTTTAGTGAGAAGAGCTATGCGTATAATTAATTTGTGATCTGAACATTTAATTCATTGGGCGGTGTGAAAAAGCAAAACACTTGCCTTCTTGTAACATTCACAATAGTAGTTACGAACATTGTTACACCGTACCAGTGACTTTAGTAACGCTTATATTGCTAAGTCGTGACAATTCCATTTACTCTAAGGATTTCCAGCCATTGAAGTGAAATGCTATTGATAATGTATTCTTCTCTGTCCGTGTACACGTGACACCGAGTTTAGTTTATCTATGCAGCGAAGCATGTGATGCACACTTCTAACAGTTGTACAATATAACATAGTCCGATAAGAGATAATATCATCATAATTCACAAGATAAAATTACAAAATCTATATAAATAAATGAATCACCCAGATTCAGATCCAGTTTGCTTATAATGAAACGGCAACGAATAGAAGATAAACAAATCGATAAATAAGCAAAGCAATGCTAGCACTGTTCAACTGGTTCTTCAACGAATTGCTTTCACTTTTAAGAAATTCTACTAGATTTAAAGTATTTTTTATTGTTATTAGCAAGCTTGAAAGAAAAAAGCGAAATCATATTTGTAAATCGATCGGTATTATTTAAAAATTAATAATTTCGACGCGTTTGCAATATAATTTGCTTAAAAGTAAATATTTAGATTTTATTAATGTTTCCTCTCTTACCGGCGGGTCTCTCTCTCTCTCTCACTATCTAAAATTTTGTTATTTTGAGTCTCCATTCAACAAAATAGTTGTTTGCTACAATGCTGTCCTAAGTATTGGAGAATTTTTGGACAGATACAATTTGATTTTCCGCATTCCCTTTTCCGATTCATTCTCCACTTCTGATCTTTTTTTGTAATTTCCACCCAACCTTGTCAAAAAATGATAGTGTGCTTGGACATATTCGAGTGAAATGAACATCGTCAACATCAGCGATGTAGAAAATCACGGAATTCGCCAAATTTGAGCCAATATTTAAAAAACAAACAATGCCTACTTAGCCGAAGAAAGATCGAAGGATGTAAAATTCTGGAAGAATTTTGTGTGGAGATCATAAAGAACCAACGAATATCTATATAAAACTGCAATCGAAAGACTTCTTGAAAGATTTACTTAGCATTTTTGGTACCTTATCGGATAGCAATGAAAAAATGGATACATAGGTATTTCAGACACAAAAATATTCTTGCATCTGCCTGAGCAGGTTCGCTAAAATCAGCTAGATGTACTTTACAATAGGCTATAATCTATTATTAATTAACCTTTACCATCAGATCCTTTACGTGGAGATCACGAGCACAGAGCTGAATTGCAATTGGCTTAACCGGCAAGTGCTTGAGAGAAATTGACGGCTTTGTCTTCATAATAATAAAAAGAAAGATACAGCATGACGAACAAATCATTTAGCGATCCAGAAGGTCTTTCTCGATATTGCAGATTTTGGCTCTCTGCCATTAATTTCAATGGACGCGCAACTTTTTGGCTAACCAGCCTTTATTCCGAAGATATTAAAAATTATTCGTTCGCGAATTGTATTGCTTCACAAAATTAGAGCTTACTCTTTTTGAAGAGTAACAAAAAAAACCGTTACTTGAATTCGGGTAGCGTCGAACAATACTTTTGAATACTGATGATATATGTTTTGAATAGGATAAAACTCAGCATAGGGATGTTCTTTCAAGAAATATTTTTCTTTTTTCAAAAATAGTTTTTAAATTTTCCTACGTACATACATAAATGTAAATATATGTAAATTATTTCTTTCAGTAAACGCACTCAAATACTTACCTAATCGCAGTTCGCCAAAATTACCACAGCCAATTTTTTTACCAACACGAAAATTTGGTCCGACCATAAGAACCCCCGTTGAGGTGCTTACGGATTGGCGGGCGGCATACATATTGCTGGCACTGACTGTTGTTCGAGCACCACCTGTACCGCCACCACCACCACCGCCGCCGCCGCCACCTCCACCAGAAGCACCAGCAGTCTGTGTTCCACCACAACTGGAAAATATACGAAACATTCAATGAAATTACTCCAGCAATGACGAATGAAAAAAGCATATCAATCAATTTTCTTATGTATTTTCTATCTATATTTCTATCTTTCTCTCTATCTCGCTCTCTCTCTCTTAAAAACTGACTTGACGTTCGAATGTCAGTGCTTTGAATTTTCATTCTGTTTATTTCTCTTGGGTTTTTCCGTTTTTCACTATTTATTACGACATTTACAAATAATTTTTTTCAATTTATCTATTTTAAAGGAAGAACTTTAATCGCAAACAGTAAGTCTTTTATATTTTTTCCGTCTGCAACTTTTTACAATATAAATGGTTCAATATACATCGTTCAATGCGTACTAGTCTTTTGAAATGAAATCTTTGTCGCCGAAAATCATCATTCTTAAGAGGTCCACAAGAAGATTTAGAAAGCGAATTTCGAAAAAAATTTTGACGATCCTTTTTAGCTACGTCAATAATATTATAAATATCTGTATGGATTTTATGTTATTTATATCAAAGTACAGCTACACATGTAAATATGCATATACAAATGTCTTTTTTCTGTTATTATTATTAAGCACTTAAAAAACAAAATGTAATGATTTGGGATATGTCGAAAAAGAGATTAGAAAACTTTTGGCCTCTTTTATATTTTACTGGAAAAAATGAAAGAAAAATAAGATGGAAAAATGATTGCCACATAGCTCTTATGCGTTTCAAAATTTATTTTATTCCGGTCTTGCGTTTTTCAATCAATCACTGCAGAAATTAATTTATGTATTCACACAGCTTCTATAAATATTTTCTGTTAAACTCGTTGCAAACTGAGTCATATTTCCTCATACAGAGAACATCGAATATTTGTTACACAAGTTTGGTTATGTCTGTAATCTCTACCAAAAAACAACGGGGAGTGGAACATTGTACAGCGACATTTCTACTATAAATGGTCAATGGACGCATTTTGGGTTATGTTATTTGTTTCAATTTTGTGTTTTATGGTATTCAAGATCACAAAAATGTGTATGAGAAAGCTAATATTCGCGCATGCAATTTTTTAAAATACTATCTTAGATCCTGACAAAAATAAAGAATTTTTACTAGATAGTAACAGTCGCTCAGAAACTCGCTCCAGAACATTTTTTAACACCAGACCTATCAATTTACTACCCGTTCTTCGTACTTCGTTTTCGCGTGAAACTCTTAAAAAAGTTCAGGTAAGTATTCGGTCAAATTTTAACTAACTAAAATCGCGTTTGGGGACACTTCATATCAATTTTTAATTCAGGTCTTCGGCCAAAAGGTCCACGTACGTCATTTTGCGATTGGCAAAAAAAATTGATCATTTCAGAATGGCAGACATGACCTGGATGATCTACCTAAACCAACTTCAAGGCCAAGTCCCTTCCTGAACAAATAGTCATCATAGTTAACTCATAAAAAGCTCCTACGATAGATAGGATAGGAGTTAAACGGCGACAGAATGTTTCAAATGCAGGGAAAACTTGGATGATTAGAAGTTTTAGGCTGGCTTCACTAAAATGTGAAGAATGCGGTTTCGAACAAAAAACATATTCTCTTCACTTCGCGTTCATTTTTTAATGATGAAAAATTGATTCCAAAAAAGCGAATGTAAATGTGAATACTATTATTAAAATATACCCCACATAGGCCACCATCCGTGCATCACATTCGTCGTGTAATTGTTGTTCGATCTTTCGCGAACTTTCTATTACATTAGTGGTTTGAGTTCTTTTTGGTTTCGGTTCGTCTTTTGACAAAAGAACATTGAACACTATCTTTTAACAAAGAAACATGTAACTAGATATAGTGAGTCTCATTAATATTGCGTTTTTTCGCTCAACGAAAAGAAAACGCTTCTTAAACCTAGTCGATTATCCAAATACAAAACATTTTTTTATCATTACTATAAACAGAGTCATTAATATTGAGATTCTTTCGTGTAAGGAAGAGTTTATTTCGTATACGCGAAGAAAAAAGCAGCATATTATTAAAAATTAATATTTGGAGGGGTATTCTTTTTGCTTAACAACGTCGTATAAGCGCTTTGACATACTTTGTATAATTTTTCTTATGCAGGAAACAGGGATTTTACGCTATTCCTCTTATAGTCTGTTTTTCAGATCTTGAGCGGGGGCTCTCAGTGTTTTCGTACATGGCGGTCCAATCATTAATATATTAAAAACTTAATATTAATATATTAAAAACTTAATATAACCTGGACATCGTTGGAAAAGCCATTAATAGAGGATTCATGCCGTACTAGTTTCACAGGACATGGTTTGGACACAGTAGCTACGGAAAGTTTCGCCTTATCAACCTCATTTATGACATAGTGTACAAAAGTTTTGCTTTCGAATATTAATTAATTTACATAAAGTCATGTTCTGTTTATAATAATTTGAAAAAAAATTCTCGAAAAGTTCTATTTTACTTGTATTTTGAGTAAAATCCCTCCGAGACTTCGTTTAACAGAATTCTGTTAACGGCTTTACAGAGCTCAGCAAAAAAAATTTAGTTTGTGTCTTTGCTAGTTATATTTAAATATAACTCCGCACCCTTAGTGCGGACAATATCTTAGTATTACTCTGATTCTTAATTGTTTGTAATTGGTCTGCATTCAAGAACGTAGACCGAGTGACAAACGCATACGGTTAAAGCATCGAAATGGACAGGTGAATGAATGTTTTTATGAAGTGCTTCATGTCTAGATTCCACTCGCCGTTAAAAGAAATGACTACCTTTTTTTCTTTCTACATTTAATCATGCGTAAGTACATTTTTGTAAATTAAAAGTGAATTTCCCGCAAAAATGAATGTTTGTTTGCTTGTTCATTTAGCATTTAAATAATCATTGAAAATGCATGTGCTAGTACAATAAATGAATACGTACATATATAATGTGACAATAAATTCTTGGTATTACGATAATTTCATAATTCACATACATTCCTTATGAATATTTAAGCATGGTTTTATCGTGGTTAATAAAACGCGATATTAAGGGCCAATGACATTACTGGTAATGTGTACAAAAATAGAGTAGCACTATAGCCTTTATTAACGTCAGCCAAAACTATTACAAACAAGTCGTTTCGTGCAACTCTGCAAAAGCGTAAACAATTAAAAACAAGTCTCGAATACTCATATTAGCTAAATGAATTTTTATTCATTTATTTAGAAATGTAATCATATTTTTCCTACTATGAAATCAACTAAAGTTTATATTTTTGCGTTAATCGGCGAAACACTCACAAAGTGCACCTTGTACAGAATTGACGAATCAGTTTGGAATTTGAGGCTTTGACAAATGCAATGTGTAAATCAGTATACCCTTTCTTAGATAGTAAATATTAAAAAAACTATATATCGTCGGTGTTGCTTGGCGGGTGTTAGATATTAAAAGCGAAAACTTACAAGCGCTATTAAAGGAAAAGAAGAGAGGTTGCGGTAGAGAGAGAAATACTGGTTTGGGCAAAGAGACGCTGACGCACGCGCACTGAGAGCCAGACATTAAATGAGTCATCGGCGACAATAGCAAAATAATGATACAAAAACATATGCATGCATACTTCAGCCGACAGCCAAGCAATCTAAATGAAACGAGGAAAACCAAAAAGCAGACAAAACCGAATTATTAATATTATTGATTTTGGAAGCTATGTCAAGCGAATGCTTCGGGCCAAAACAAGTAACGAATTGATGAAAGAGTCTTGTCGTAGGTTACTTAAAGAACAAACCAAAAAGTGAAAAGTCATTTTAAAACTGTTTCATTTAAAATCAACTCAACGCTAAAAGTCTTATATGTAGTCCACTGTGATAGATAAATCATCTCACACTCTTGATGAATAATTCTGTTTTCAGTGCAGACAAATGTTTACTCGTAAAATAAAAATTTAATTAAATCATTTCTAAGTCGGTAAATATGTTAATCATTATATATTAACGGCGTACAAATTTAGGTACTCATTAAAGGGGAAAAGTCACTGTACCACCTTAAAATAAAAAAAACTGCTTTTACAATTTTTTGAGGATGCAAGGAAAAGTAATAGAATAACAATATTCGAGGAGTTTATTAAGAATGCATTTAGAGTATAAAAAGAAAAAATTATTTTTGATATCGCGAGGCATTGTTCATTTAACGGATACTCCAGTCGACACCTTCTTTAGTCCAAATTTGAGTTTGATAGTAAAAATTGAAAAATTATAGTAATAATAATCATTTAATCTGTCCGCAGTGTTTGCGTGATGGACGAATGTTTGAATGAAAACATCAATTTGTAGTACAAAAAAGGCAATCTTCTATCAATAAAAAGTATTTAAATTAACTTATCGAAAATCTCCTACATACTCCAAAATTATGTTTATTTTCATTGAGGTGAGCGATGTCTTGAAACTTTTAGGAGATATGGAAAAGTGTTGATTAACTGAACAAAATTTTTCCACGACATTTCCGCAAGCTCTTCTGATTTGTCCTGCATATGTCAAAGAATACTTTGCTTGGAAATTACAACCTGATGTTTTGTCTGTTGGTTGCTAACTTTTCTAATACGCTAAGATATGTTAAGCATTTGTTATATTTATGCTGCAACATTGAGGCTGATGTTGACTACGTATTATGCTGAGAGCGATTTCACAGAGTTTCCATGTTTTTATCAACAAATTAAAAGATCGAGATGAAGTTATTGGAAACGTAGAATCGTACATTTCCTTGCCAATCTCTTTTTCTAAGTAAAACGTAAAACGTGCGATCCTGTTTACGAAAATCGCAGCAAAAGAACTTTTGCGCGTGTAATCTTCGAGGAAAGAGCTTGGGAAACAATAATTAAACATTTTGATGGTTCTAGAAGATTGTAAACTAATGAAATGAATAACAAGTACAAACACTGAAGTGGGCGTGGACTATGGACTTTTCAAAATAAGATGATATGTAAGAAGTGGGCGAAAAATTGATCGAATCCGAACAATGCTCGAAGAC